CCCCCCACTGAGTCACTACACACTCTCTACCACTTCAAATGTGCCAGCATTGATTCGCTTTCTACACAGCTGAACACTGTTTGATCAGGTTCATTTAGTTCATTTCCTGATTAAATAAAGTGCCCCACACAAACTATCAAACAAAACAAACAGGAGCATGCAGGCTGCTAGATTAAATGCTGGTTTTTGAGGCACATACTTTCGTTTAATCGAAAGTAGGGCATATATTTTAGCTAGCATTACAGTAAAGTATGCTATTAAAGCCTCTAAAAACGTTTGAAGTATTCCTCTTTAACAACACATGTTAATGACTAAATAACATACACTCAACGTCTGGGAAAAACCCCTTTAGTTCATATATATCTTATCTGCTGGTTGTGTACATTTAATTAACAATGCTGTAACACAACCCCACAAAGCCTAAATTCAAAACAGTTGCTATATTCTGTTTGGTGTAGAATGAAATAAATAATTGTCATCTTTTTCCAAGTGAGTCCTGTATACTTCATGCAAAGGAGAATAGAAAGGAAAACATACAGTTCATCAATACAGAATTCTCTCATGTAAAATAAACAAAACATTGGGCCAAATATTTGATGTTGATGCCCCATCGCACTTTGACGAATCAAAAAGGTATTCAGGGCCTTAACTCTAAATACAATCTCTTGCAACCATCTCAAAACAACACCTGAATCAAGCATCATTTCTCCCAAACTTTCCAACAACAACAAAAGCTTCTCTCTCTCTCACACAAAGACCCTCAGCTGAGCTCTTTTGTTTTTCCTCACTGCCATCTACGCTTAGCTGTTACCCTCCCCTGAACCTGCCAGCTGTCCTGTCTCATTACCCATCCACCGACCTGCTTCTCGGCAAACATCCCCCCAGAGTGCCTCCCAATAGAGACCCTGCCGTTCATCCCTCTTCCCGTCCTCCCTTCCTCGTCTCCTGTCAGAATCAGAAAACATCTGGGGGAGCCGGAAGAGTTTGTGGAGCTGCATCGAATCCCCCCCCCCAACGCGTCGGAGGGATTGTCCGCGCCTGTGTCATCTTCCTCATGGGTGAGCGGACACAGCGCGGCTGAGTGTGATGGGATGTGGCAGAGCTACAGAGACTGTGAACAATTACGGGGATGTGAGAGCAATCGGAGAGAAGGGCTGCTCTCACAGCTGTCGCCCAATCACAGGGGACTGTCAGGTGACGGACATCTGTCAGATCATGTCTTATGCTTTTGTTGCCCACGATGAATTATGGATTGAGCCCATTGGAAATACAAGTGATGTAAGAGCAGGCCCTCAGAGAATGACAAGACTGATTAAGTTAATAATCATTTCACTTCAAAGTTAGATAGGAACATTTGGTGCACATTTTCATTTCTGCCAGCGCATTAAAAGGATTTCAAAGGCATTTCTTGAGTGCAGCATCATAAATCTTTAAAGAGATAAGCCAACAAGGAAGGGTTTCAATCCAAAAAGCTACAACCAGTTTTTAAAATATATCTTTGCTCATCAAATTATAACTTCAATGATTCCACACTCGGGTGTTTACAAAACAGGAGAAATACTAGCTTTGTACCTACAGAAAATATAGGCCTTACTTCTTGTTTCAGCCACCAATCCCTTTGAGGAGAAGGTATAACTTTACCACAACATGTCTCTCTGCTGCTTTGTTGATGGATGTAACTGAGAAGCCGTGACTTTTATCGAAAAGTTCTTCCTCTTTTCAAAACTGTGCTTCCTGAAAACGGTCAGAAAGGAAGTTCTCAGGGAGAGTCTCTACAATGGCCCAAACAAGGCCATGAGTAGCAATAAAGCTAAATTATAAGCCTCACGGTTGTGTGAGTGTTTGAAGTCTCACACTGTTGTGATCCTCAAATGTCTTAAACCAGCTGCCGTTCAGCAACACACACAGCGCCAGGGGGGGGGGATGATGATGTCATGAGCAGGGTACGTTTTCTTCACTAATTAGAAACTGGAGCTTCTCGCCATAACTTGGGGGTCTTTACACGTAACCATGCAACAAAAAGGGGATTAAAGATAAAACATGTTGACATCCGTGCTCTTAAAATGTGATGTTTTTAAGACTGCAGGAAAGCAAAACGATGCCTTGAATGTGAGTGCGGTACAGCTGAACTGAAGTGATAAGAAACACATGAGTGGCCCATTGTGAACTAAAACCATGAAATATCGTGCGGCTTCCGCTCGTTTCCGAAGTCAGAATTGATGTGGCTTAGACCGATCAGATTATACACGTATTGAGACTCAAAACTGCTTTGTTTTGTTGGAAAACAAAAGACTAAGATAAGCCCTGGTGTGCTTTTATATCTCCTAAGAAACTCCCATATCATTGACCTGTGCTAGATCATGCACAGGTCAATGATATGGTGGCTGATTGGCTTCTCCTTAGACAACCACTGTGTTGGGTGCATGAATATTCATGAATAAGTTTAGTGTTTCAAAAAGTCTCATAATTCTCCAGGCTTTGCACCATCATCATCTATAATGTCACCGCTCATGCTAGGAGTGGCCCCCCCAGTCAAATTGGTCTAGAACCGTCACTGCAAAGACCTTAATTACATTTCATTTAGTCATATTAATGATGTCAGGCCTCCTGTCAACACCCCAGACGCAGACTGTAGCGAGCAGCTCCGTGCCCCCGGGCGCTCCGCTCTGCGAGGGGAGGAAGTATTCTCGTCTGCTCCGCTGGGATCAGCATCAAACACACCGAATTACAGCTGCAAAATTAGCGCATTGCCACATGATTCGGGAGAGAAAAAGAAGGGACGGGGGGGCGGGGGGGGGGCTACTGTTTACGACCGCTCCACACAGTAATTTTGCCGGTAGGAATTCAGTTTGAGAGATGTTTGTATCCTACGTTTAAACAAGTGCAATATGAAGGATTGATGCTGGCTGTAGGTGTTTATGATCCATGACTCACAGTAGCTTTCAGGCAAGCTGGGTCAGATTTTTGGGCTTTCAACTTTCAACAAAAAGAAAGTTGCATCATGGAAAGGTACAAAGTTAATGGGCATGAAT